TATATATATATATTAATTACTAATACTAAAAATATAGTTTTTTATTCAATCTATATTATTTTTTTAATGTTAAAATACATTAAAAAGTAATATTTCTTATTAGTATTGCAGGTCTTGTTAAGGAAAAACAGAATAATCTTATGGTATAAATCCCAAAAAAGTATTTTATTTTAATAACATTTAGGAAATAGGGTTACACATGGAAATGTCATCAAAGTATAAGAGATAAGAATGGAGATGTAGTTTTGAAAATTGAGAAAAATGAATAGGAATTTCATAAAAGTATGGGAATGATAATAATAATTACCTTATAGTAGTCAATTATTAATAACTATTGCGAAATAGTTATGATTCAGAAAGCAGATAAAAATAAAAATTGAGAGAAAAGGTATATTTAAACATATATTAGATTAATTAGAATAATTTATAGAAAATATTTATAGATTTAGGATTATGAATTGAGACAATATATATTTTAAAATTAATATCCTTTTTTATTTAAATAAAAATTTATTTATTAATTTATATTAGAAATGGACCAATCGTAATCTAACTAATAAGAGAATTAGGTTAATACTCAAAGTCAATAGATACAATATTAATAACAGTAGGACTAAGTGAAATAAATTAAAAAGGATAAAGAAAAATGCTTAGAAATAAAAAACAAAGCAGGGTCATTGTTTAACGAATAAAAGTTTAAAGAAGCTGCACTTATCTACAAAGAAGCTTTAAATTATTGTCCTTTAGAAGATTTAAATATGTTATGTATCTTAAACTCAAATATTGCCATTTGTTTACTTAATCAATCTGAATTTGAAAGTGCCATATAACAATGCTCAAAAGCACTTGAATTTAATCCTGAATTTGTTAAAGCTTTATATAATAGAGCAGAATGTTATGAAAAAACAAATTAATTGGAAGAGGCATTAGATGGTATTGTTTAAAGAATATTCTAGATTATAAGAAATTAAGAGGATTATAACCTAAAGATTATTTTATTTAGAAAAAGTTTATAGATCTAGATTTGAAAGTTTCAGAATTTGTAGAAAAAAGAAAGAATGATGCCATGAAGAAAATAAAAAATCAATAATTATTAGGATAATTAGGAATAAATTAAGATAATGTTAAATTAGAACAAAATGCAGATGGAACATTTAATTTTTCATTTTCATAATAATGATTCAAAAAATTCGTTTATTAATATAGCTTCATAGGTAATCCAGATAAACATTTTGGTCTTAAAATAATTCTTCATACAATGTTTATCAAAAATCTTATTAAATCCACTCTATAAGAACTAAAAAGGTTTTATAAGATTATCAAACTCATTGACAATAATTAATATTCTTAGAGAATCCTAATCAGTTGATCAAATAATTAAGTTATCTGCTTAATAATTCTAAAGTTCTATTAAGCAAGATTAATCATAATTTTTTTGTAAAATTCATAAATTATTTAAATATCCATTTAATTCTGTATTTTCTTATAAATAAAAATTTAGTGGTTTAAATTAGCTTGATTAACTTTTTATTCATAAATTTCAATTATTTTTTTCTAGAGCTTCCTAACTTAAACTTCAATAAATATTTTATTCTGTGAAAGTTCACCATATTTCAAATCTGAATATATTTTTACTTTTTGTTGATTTTGAACAACACAAAAACATTTTTTTTAATTAAAATCAACCAATTTTTATTCATTCTCACTAATCAATTTAAATATGTATGTTAGAAACTAATTGTAATTGTACCATTCCCATCATTGATTACTTTACAAATGGGATCAGCACTATTTAAAATTATGGGAGTATATTCTCTTAGGATTCTATTTATTATTGGCAATACCTATTGTTGATTATTTATTCAAGTTTTATTTATTATTATATATATTTATACTAAAGTTTTATTTCTAAAATGATCAAGGCTTTACTATCTAAGAATTTATTAGTATATAGTTATTCTCCACTTGAGAAGTCAATCTTTTTTTTTCTATTATAAGTCAATTTCTGTTTTAAGGGCATCTGTTGAATAATTTATTAGTATCCTAATATTTTATTGGATTAAGGGGTTTGAATGAATTACTTTAGATTTCCGGCTAGAGTATATCAGTGTAGTTTGGATGAGGAGAGTTCGGTCGCTTATTTATGAAGGATGTGTCATAGTGATATTAAATATTTTAATTTAGGAAAAAAAACAATTCAATTGTAATTTAAGCATATATTTAGAAGAGAAATATTTAAAAAAAAAATGATTTTTAAATTATTTTACAAAAATAGTCTCTGGAACAAGGGTTTTTTTTATAATTACTTTTAAAGCAACATAGAAATTTTTAATATTCAAGAAAAAATGAATTATAAAGTATAAATGGTTAAATGGATTTATAGAAAAAAATTAAGATTGAAAAAAACATCTGATTATGTATATTGGTGATTGGGTAGGTGATTTTATACTTTAATATAATATTGCTATGTTGAGTAGTTGTTTACAGAGAAATAAATCTTAATCACAAACATAGTAAAATTACCTGAAGATTTTTCTTTAGCCAAAAAAATTAAGAATTATTGTTTATTAGAAGATTTATGACTTAGGAAACAGAAATAAAAGTTGAGGTTAAAAGATACTTATTAGAAACTTCAGGTATATGGTTAAATGAAAAATCGACAAGGTGGTATTTTGATGTAGACATTCATCACAATATTAATTTATTCATAATAACGAGATGTTAGAGAAATTATAGAATTTGAAAAAGTTTATAAAGCACTATTTTGTTTTTTCTGCAATTAATTATTAAAATCCTAAACAATTGTTTTTCAGAAATTAGATTATTTAATATAATTCTAGAAACAACTAAAATAAATTATTTCAATAAAATATATATACGCAATTTTTAATTAGATAGAATTAATTTCTATTTAAATGAAGCTTTAGGATATAAACATTTCCTAAGAGCCATTTTTATTGACTTACCATCATGTTCTAATATTTAATTATTTCATCTATGGTTCATTAGATATTGTCAGAGCAGGACAATTAGGGTAAAACATGAACTGCTAATCACTAGGTAAAAGGTCGATATTCTTGATATGCTGATTTGATTGATTCAGCTTTGGATTTAGTGAGAAAAGAGGCAAAAAATTGCGATAATTTTTAAGGATTTTAAACTACTAATTCTTTTGGTGGAGGTACAGAATCAACGAGAACATTATTTAAAGTAGGATTTCCATATAGAATGTGGCAATATTCTCCACTATTGAATTGTTTAAAGATATAACTATTTTTTTATTTTAAATTATTAAATTTAAGTGTAATTTCAATAATACAGTGATTGAACCGATAATGCAGTATTACGAACTAAGTAAGGGATTGAATAACGGTGATGATTATTGATAATGAAGCATTACATGATATTTGTTTTAAAAAGTTATAATTGATTAACCTTATTTACTATAATGTTTCGAATTACAGGTTATTCTAGATTTCCACGTAAATTGTACTCTGAATTGAGATAATTAGCATTCAATTTAATTCCATTTCTAATGCTACATTTTTTAATGATTAGATTTAGTGCTTTCTATCAAGTATCAAGAGAGAATGCTAGCAAAAAGAGAGAACAATTTCAATCCTAAATTTTTGTATTAATGAGTGATCATAATCTATCTTAAGATGATTAATGAGAAACATTACTCTTTCTACTAAAATTCAGAATAATTTTTTAGAAACTTTAAAATTGATGTATCTAAATCTACCGGTATTTATGAGTTTCTCTAATTTTTTCTTTAATTTCTGTATTTATATATTTTGAATCATGTGATTATCATCCTTATTTGGTAGTAAATTAGCAGAAAGTAAATGTCTTTCCTAATGTATTTAAGTTTCTAAATTATCAACTCTAAAAATTATTTTGTTAAACAATATTTAAATATAAATATATCAATTTCAAGGTTATTTTTATAACATTTCTAAAGGTTCCAATAAGGCATAATCATTTTCTATATCTAAAGAATTAGCAGGTTTAACAGTTAATCTATTTGATTCTTTACTATTTTAATGATCGAGGTAGTTATTGGACAATTTTCCTCCCATTTAATAACTCTGTTGCAGAACTTAATCTCCAAATTATTGTTAAATAATAAATTATATTCTTGAAATTTCATATAAGATATTATCTAACCTACATTTTTCTTTTGCTCTTTTAATAAAAATTTTATATTTATATTTAATGTGGTCAAGTGAACTATTCCTACTATTTTCATGTTATTCTTAACTTTCAAATTGTTCATATGTGTTGAGATTTTAGAATTTATTTTATGTTAATGTTATTTTGAGATTCTTTTTTGAATTATTTTTGTGACTTTCTTTGTCAATATTTTTTTTTACTTTATTTTTAGAAATAAATGTTTTCTAAATTTTCATTTTGCATTCATCCTATTATAAATAAATTTTCAATATTAAAAAAAAACTTGCATGCTCATCAATGACTTGATATTACTTAAGGTTACTTATTTTAGCTATGCCATTATTCAAAATAAATATCTTTGTTGTTTAGATATTGATATGCCAATCAAGGATTAAATTTCTAAAAGACTTGGATTTTAAAATTAATTTGAGAACAGTTAAGCTAATTTTAGTTCATTTCTTTTTGATATTTAATGTAATGTAATGTCATGTAAATTTTTTAATTAATTAATTTATGAGAAATCTAACAAATAAGTTTAACCAATATTTGTCCTTATCAAGGATAATTTATTATTAATATTCAGACAGCTCATTAATAATAGATTTTGAGAAATTGAAATAAAATTCTAACCCTAATTTAACTTTAGAATAATATTTTTCATTACATTATTTTTTTAATAGCCTTAAATGCACATAATCTGCATGAACATCTAAAATTGAAACTACTTACAATGGAAAATAAAGAGAAAAATAAAAAAACAAAAAAGCAAAACCTATTACAAAAAAGAAGTTTTAATCTTAAATTAAAATAGTAGATCCAGTAATGAGAAATGGACAAGAATGATTTTTTTTATATTGGATCTTAAACTAGATATATTGCCATTTAGCTTTTTTTATAATTTAAACTTTTTACCCAACTTTAGTTTAATTTAATTAAAAATTTATGAATTAGTTATAACATTTAATAGAAGTTACTTTTAAAAATATTTTATTAGGAAAGTTTTATCCTTTTTCAATTCTGTCGAATTTCAAAAGGATAGCACAATTTAATAATAATAACAGTAATAATCATAATAATTTTTAAACGATAAGTTCAAAAGTACCTTAAATACATTTTGATTTATTTGATTTTCAACAAAAATCTATGTAACAAAAAAAATAAAATGAAAAATTTAGAAGTAGTATTCAAATGCAGATCGAATACATACCAAAAGGTCAAATAAGAAATTATATATTTTTTTTTTTAATAAATTATTTCTAGCTTGTTTAAATAGTAAAATTATAATCAAATAGAATATTTATTAAAGAAGAGCTTACAAATATTTATAGAACTCTAGCTAAATTAAATTAAAAACATTAATTGGATTCATATATATTTCAAAAACAATCATTCAGGTTCTATCTTTAAAAATTGATTGAAATTCAAGTTTAAAGATTATAATTTTTTTTTGTTTTTTTGAGATGCCAAGTGGAAAAATATATTTGTTTTAAATTAGCAAGAGAAAAATATATATTTATTCAGGTGTATTTTTATTCTGAATGATAGAATTTAAATTTTTAGCTTGAGAGCTTAGAATTATTTTGTGATTTTTAATTTAGAAATTGTAGATAGATGTTATTTAAGTTTATTTATCAAAAATTTCGCTCTCTCATTTCTTAACTTGATCTTTGTATATGCATTTTTAACATTTTTGTTAAAATTGAATTTGGCAATGTCTTATTCAAAATTTAAGGTAATTAATTTAAGATTAGAAAAGTATATTTTATTAAATAAACTACTATTATGCCCATGATAAAACAATAGCAAAGTTTAATACAAAGAAAAAAAATGATAGTGCTTTTCTTAGTTTATTTACTCTTTATTTCTCAGACTTTTCAATCAATCTTAAGTTTTTTTTATTTCGTTTAACAATTATTTAGAGAAAAATCTTTTATTGTTTTTCTTGCTGATTACTAAAGAAAGATTGCTTTAAACTACTATGGTATTTTCTTAGTAATTAACACTATATTGCCTTGTTTATTCTGATTTATATTGAATTATCGAATTTTGGCTCTTTACTAATTTATCAATATATTGATTCAAAATCCATCCTGTCTCTTTATTTGAATTTTTGAATAATCTCTTATTATAGATCAAAAATTTTCTTATGAAAGGATAGTTCGATTTAAGTCAATTCCTTCTAAAATTATATTCTATTGAGAAGTATATGTAGATATTCTATTTACTAAATTTTCTTTTATTCTTTTAACATCCTTAACTACAAAAAATTTTTTTTTTATCTATTCTTCTCTCCTTTATTCCATTAAGTTACTTCCCTAAACAATTTATAGAATTTCTGCGAAAATATAAGACTTTAAAAGAAATTTTTCATGAAATTCTACCCATTTTACATTTATATATCCACTTTGATTATAAAAATCATCATTACTAAATAAAAAACTGCTTACATTGGTATAATTTAAAGGACAATATTTGAAAAATCTATCCATTTATAAGATTTTTCCAATATTATATTTCTCTATATTTGAACTTGACTAATAGAAATATTTTCATCCTTTTTGATACTCAATATAAATTTCATGTAATTCAATCCTGATAATTTACTTTTATTAGATCATCTTTCTTAATCTTTCTTAACTTTTGGTATTCCGAAGAGACCTAATATTCCCTTGTTGAATATTCTGCTTTAAATTTAATTTAATTATTTAATTTCATACTTATAAAAGCTCATCTAATATATCCATTCCTATTTTTAATCCATTTTCTTTCTCATAAATTTCTAATTCCTTTTCTGAATAAATTTCAATAAATATTGATTATCCAATCAATAATTATTAATGATTACAAAATTATTAAATAAATCATTTAATAAAACATTTTTATTGACAGACCAATTAATTCTAATATTTCCTCATAATTCTATAATAAATTCAATAATGATCATAAATTAATAAAATTATTAATATATACTATAATGATTTCCAATTAAAATCTATTAGGTTTACACTTTTAAATGCAAATGGTATTTTAATTTTTAGATTTTCAGAAATATAAGAGTGCTTTGAGTTAAATAATTTCAGATATAAATAATTTAAATTTAACAATAAAATTGATGATAATCTAAAATATTAAATCATTAAGTTTAAAATTTATTGATGCTTAGTTGCAGCAACTATGGTTTTTTAAAAATACTTTTCAAAAAAGGATAGCTACTTTTTGATTAATCAAGCATCAGTAAACTTTACTTCTTTTTGACGAAATTATTCAAGTTTTATTATGCTGTAAAGACTTATTGAAACTTTAATTTAGAAAATTAAGTTATCAAATATACATTATCTTCGCTTAAAGTCCAAATAATATCTCCTAAACTATTATGATCTACAAATTAGAATATTTTTGTATTAAATTTCTATTTCGTATTAAATTTATTCGCTATTGTTCAATAGAAGAGTAAGCTAATCTTAAAATATAAATTTTACGACCATTTTACTCCATTAATTAAAAAGATGGTTGGCTAAACAAGGGAATCAAAAATGAATTTGATATTTTGTAAATGGGACAAGGTATTTTTCATGATATTTTATGAATTAATCTGTGAAATTGTTGAATGAATAAATAACAAGAGATCAATATATCTCCATCCTATTTAAGAGACAATTTTAAAACAGCTTCCTAATGCTCAATAGTTTAATATTGAGACCATAATGATACAGAGGGCGAAGGACCAAAATACGATGCTCTTATCCTTAGAGCTGCTTAAAATTAAATCTTAGATTGGGGAGTTTAATATTAAAAAAGTGAATTACAATATATCTCTTTAACTTTATCAAATATCTAGAATTGGTAAAAAGCAATTAAAGACCAAATATTTATAGAAACTCTTAAAGAGCCTGAAATGAATTTAGATTTTGTTTCAAAAAATTATGCTTCAGAAATATTGCTATTCTCTTGAGGTATTTATACTTATTTCTATATTCCATTCTTAATTTAAATTTATTTTTATGATTTTATTACAAATAAAGATTATTTGATTATTCGATTATTCGATTATTCGATTATTCTTGTTATTAATAAATATATTAGTACAACTGCTATTCAGTTAAGAATTTTTTAAGGAATACAATTATATTTTGAATTGAAATCGGATTTCACTTATTCTTCTTGTTCCTTCTAATTTAACAAATTTTTTTCATTTTAAATTTACATAGTTAATAATAATTATATTTTTAAATAACTTTAATTGATTACAATTTAGTAATGCAGAACTATATAAAATTCATATCACATTTTTAATTTTTATAAAGTAATTTCTATTTATAAAGTTTAAAATAATAATTACGATTAATGCCCTGAAGGTTATCAATATTAACTTAAATATCTTGTTGATTACATTTCTTAAGAATATTAGGTTTATTTTAAATGAATATATCTTATTACTTTTTAACAAAAGAAAATTGGATATTAGTATTAAATGTTCTCATAGCTGAATTTTAATCAATAGCTTAACTATCTATTTAGCTTTTAATTCTTTATTTCATTTTTTAATTGAACTATTAGTTCATTTCTACTAATTCTGACTTGCTTTAAGTTAATCTTATAAACTCATAAAGTTTAACCTTATAGTTGGTTATTTTAATGGGATTGAACATTTGATTAGAAAGAGATAATTCTTCAAATATACTACTAAAAATTACTTCCTATTATTAATTATATATTAATTGTATTTTAATACCTCCTAAGTCAATTTAAAGGTTTCATTATTCCTAAAGTAGAGAAATGAATTTGGTTATAATCCAATTCTATTGTTACACTTGACTCTTAAAAGAAAAAGATCATATCCTATTTTATAAAAAATAACTTAATTTATAATTTCCAATTATTATTTATATATAATTTATTCAATCTTAAATAGATATCTTAATGACTATTATTATATCAATTCGTTGAAATTGGTAATTTAGAGAAAGTTTGATTTACAATAATAGATTATCCACGAAATAAAATAAGTTAGAAAAATTGGAAAATAAAATCAGATTTTGGAATAAATTATTTATAAAACAATTGAAAGAATTCATCTGAAAGCCAGAAATGCATAATAACAACAATACAATCATACATTTATGGACCATCCAGGTTGAATCTTGTTGTGTCGATTGTGTTAAGGTTAGGGATAGAAATTTTCGAATCTATCTAACCAACTGGAGAGAGAGATCACTATTTTGTATGTCATATGTTCTATTTATAACTAATTAATTATTCAACACCAGTCAAGGAAATTTTTTAGAGTATTTATTAGAATTTATCAAACATCTAATGAATTATCTAATTAAAATTAGTTAGTTGATCTAACAATTAATTTCACAAATTATTTATTTAATAAATGCATAATCAATTCTTAATTTCATAATCATATATTTTAATAATTAGATCAGAAATACATATTTTAGATTTGTAATCGTTTATTAGGATATAAATTAATTTAAATCTAAGAATGAGACATAAAAATTATATCATTTGAAAAAAATATTCTTCATCTCTCAAATAAAATTTTTATCAGGTCATAATTTTAATTTTCACAATGTAAATATCAGCAGAATTTATAAAAGTAGTCTTTTTTTATAAAATCAAAATCTCATCAAGTGATGGCTAACACGAAATGAATTACTCAAATTAAATGCAATTCTCATGCTAATTACCTTCCTTTAATGAGCTGACCTTATAAAAGTTAAATATGTTCTTCATACTATAATAGAAGGTGTTTCTCACTATATGTCTATTATTCCTAATTTCATTCTTATGTTTTTTACATTTTTTCCAATAAGGCTATACATTTTTTATAAATTTTTTCGAACATAACTTATCTTATTCATTATTATTGAGATAACTTAATTAGGGGTGGTTTTAGACAACCCTGAAAGTTGTTTCAATACATTCTTTGAAGTTTTTATAGTTTCTCCTTATATTGTTTAATAAGTGTCATCAAAACTCCTTAATAAGAATATCTGATTTAGAAGTTCATAAAAATTTCCATAAGTTTACTCACTTGGAATTCGGCATTTATGAAGTTATCCACTTAAATTTGGGAATTTTGCTTTTAATTTATTTTTCCAATGATTGCTAGTGCTATTTTGATTATCCTTTATTATTCAGGTTTATTCCAAGGTACTTATAGTTATCA